GGCTTAACTGATGGGTGTTCCGGTGTCGTCTAGGGTTTCCAAGGTGTGTTACCTTGTTGCGGACGTGGAGCCTCTTGCCAACAAATGTCCATTAGTTCCGCCTGCTGAGCTAGAGAGTGTACTCTTGACGCACCCCGACGTCGCTGATTGTGCTGTTATTGGTGTTGAGAGTGTACGCGAAGCGACAGAACTTCCTCGGTGCGTGAAGAACATCTTCCCGGCGGTTTCAAGTTCTTTTCTGACCTTTCCACCAGCGCCTATATCGTTGCTGCAGACCTCAAGAAGGTCAAGACACCCGAGCAGAAAACGGCACTAGAATTGCAAGTCGAGAAGTGGATTACGACCAAGGTTGCAAAACATAAGTTCCTCCGTGGTGGTGTGTAGAATTTTGCTTGAGACGACGTTTGTCTTTAACCGGCTTTCTAGGTGTCGTTGTCATTGAGATCATTCCCAAGAGGTTCGTTTTGCTTGTTTATCTCACTGTCGAAGTGCTAAGTGATGTCACAGTGCTGCTGGGAAGATTCTACGCCGAGAGCTCCGCGATAAAGCAAAGGAAGAACTCGCCGGTCGTGACCCAGGAGAGAGCATCCGATCCAGGTTGTGATTGCAGCATTACCGCGCTATGATCAACATCCGTCATTCTCGTCAATGTGTCCTCGTGAGCCATGTCTTTTACAGATTGTCGTCGTCGATTACAATTAGCGATCTTCAAAATCGTCAAATCACAATGATCACATTGTGACGCCAGCTCTGTCAGTAAAATAAACCAGAATTCACTGCCTGATGGAACAACCCAGAATTGAACTGGGGTCTTCTCTGTGTTGGACAGACGTGACGAGCATCCAGATACGCTATTGTTCCGATGTGACAGTGAGATGTCGAGTTTATGTAGTCGTCGAGTTGGGATTTGGTTGACAGGAAGAGGGTTGAGTGGATCCAAACCTTGCGGCGAGACTCGAGTGTAATTGGACCCTGACCACACGTGGGATTCACGGCCGCGTGTCGTTCTCCACCTTTCTCCACCTACCATAACCTTGCTTGTCGATTTTATCTACGCCTACCATCTATTTCAAACTCCAACTTCGCTTCTACCTCAAGGACGAAATATCTCGCCTTTTCATCTCACTGCCACGTCTCCAACCTTTCAGCTCTCCACACCGTAGTGTTGGTATTCCCAGTTTGATGAGTTCGGCGCGGATATCTGGAACTGGACTCCGTTAATATGCTTCGAAAGGATCTGGTGGACTTGGTGGTGGAACGCGGGGGTTTCCGGGGTACAGTTTATGAGGATAGATGCAAATGATGCAAATGGGAGAGGCGCTCAAGACTTTCATGCGTATCCGCTTTTGTCGAAAGGAGGGGCATTGAGGATAACTTCAAGTTCTTGTCAGTGTCAAGGTATGTGACACTGTCAGTTCGAGGCAGCACATAATTGGGTATCCGACGTGATAACACTAGTGGGAGTTGTGATTTGTTCGGCCCCCAAAAGAATCTCTCCAAGAGGTTGAATCGGATCAGCCCAGATTCGAACTGGGGACCTTCTGTGTTGACCTCGCTGAGACAGAAGGGGTGATAACCAAGTACACCATTGTTGTTCCGATGATTAGTCAACAAGTCTAAAGGATGTAGGCGTTGTGTTCGAGTTGGGGCTGACTTTAGGTGACAATACTATCCCAGAAGTGAGATAAATATTTCGATGGAGCGTCAGGTAAAGGCCACCTTGAATTCGGTGTTGTCTTATAATAATATTCTGCCAAAGGTGTCAGCGATCGTTTCATTTTCACAAAAAGTGCACACAATATCTACCGGGTCAGTGAACAACCCAGATTCGAACTGGTGACCTTCTGTGGACAGATGTGGTGATGCGTCCAACTACGCCATTGTTCATGTTCTCTTGTGAGATCTGGAAGGGTGATAGAGTGGGTGGGTTGAATTTGGGGTAAAGTGAAGAAAATTCGCTATGCATATCCGTACGACTGGTATGCCCGGATCCACATTGCATCCACTATCCTCTGTTTCGTATTCTGTCAAAAATATGAAGACGTCGTATTACTTTGAACCGGATCAACCCAGGTTCGAACTGGGGATGTTCTGTGTGTGCCACTAAACAGACGCGGTGATGACCAACTACACCATTGTTCCGGGGAGAGAGGCGGGTGGATCTGAATTGGTGATTGGTCGATCAGGACCACGTGGGATACCGCCGGCACTCTCAGGATGATGATCGGATCTGTCATTGATCGATATCGAATACATGCTGCCTGATTTGCCCCGTTCGACTGGTACTGCGTAATGGACACACCTCTCTACCCACCACTTCGAATCCAGCCCAGGCACATTCGTTGATGATTTACAAGTGAGGATAGGGTGTGAATACGGCTGTTGTGGTTCAGTTGCAAAAGTGAAAGTGGCGTTCAAGGAGGAGAAGGAGTTGGGTGAGGGAGTGGTGAGTAGATTGGATGAGGGGGGTCGAGGTGAGGAAGAGGAGTGATACAGGTAAGCGCGCGGTTGCTGGCACTACATATAAATTGGGTGTGTTAACGAGATCTACACGTTCCAACTTCCAGAGGAGAGCCCCCTTCTCTGACGAAGAAAGAAGCAATTCGAGAGTGCCTCTTCAATACACTCCGAATAGAAATATCGCAAAGATGTTTCCCTTGTCTTCAAGTAGAGTTATAAGGCGCTTCTGTCATCTTATCAAAAAAAGAACGCATCGATTGCTACTTCAACGAACAACCCAGATTCGAACTGGAACCTTCTGTCAGTCTATGTGAGACAGATGCGATAACCAACTACGCCATTGTTCCCTTGAGAGTTGGAAGGGCTGGGAGGGACTTGAGGGGTGGAATTTCGTCAAGTGAGTTCCTTTGAAATTCAGTTTCCTTGTCAGGGTGGACCCAGATCTAACATCGGACAGGCAACTCCTGCCTGCGGCGGCGTCCTCGAACACGCAAAAGCCTTTCCCAACCAGTCGCTCACAAACCCGCAATTATAATCCGGAAAAGTTCTGGAAAGAACTTTAGCCGAGAGGGCCTATCTCCCTGGCGCTGCTTGGTGGCGAATTGGAAGAACCCCGAATTTTTGAAGTTGCAGAATTCTGACGCTATTCGTAGTCAATCCACCAGTACAATTAATCTGGAAACCCCTTTCCCTCCCCTCGAGGACCAACCGGTAACACCCTTTGACGAAGAATTATCCTTGCCAAACATTGCGGGGTCGTCCCTCGCAATGAGCGTCAAGGCTCCGGAGCTGGCCCGACAATGAGGCGAATGTACGTACGCTCTCGGAACTATTGGGTCCCCCTATGGTTTGGCTCTCAATTCTCGGGTTGTTTGGGGTGTATACTTCCCACAAAGGTAAGTTATGATCTCATGGACAATCGGGAAATCTGGCTACCATCACTACCGTATTCAGACTGAAGTTTCATTGAGGATGAGAGCTTCTTTCTCCACGAGGTGCGGGTTGTGGGGTTCGCAGTGTCCTGACTTCCGTCAATCGCGAGATGCTGACCATTATATATCATCGTATCATCGTTGTTAGAATAAGAACCAAAGCTTTGGAGTGTCCAAGAAAAGCCGAGATAATACAATATCGAGGCATACCAGATACACGGACATTCGTTCTACTTAGTGGCCGGTCTCGTGTATACGGAAGTTGCTCTAAGTTACTTTTGTCACACTAGCCGCACTATAACAAAAAGTCAGCACATGTGGAAATAAAGTTCGATCAGGACGCACAGCAGGCTGAGGGTCTGACCGTTCTCGTCCAGGATCACAAACACCTGGGTACCCTGTAAAGGAGGTCAGATACGCTTATCACCAGGACTCAGAGTCGAAGCATACATCCGGCCACCAGCTCGTGGACTGTACAACACCGTATACAAGTTGTCCATTCACCCAGAAGAAAACCCGTGTTCCAGCCTTTGATAAAAGGTGAACGACATAAAAGGCTTGAGGAATTGGAATACTCACAGGGAATGCGTGCATATCTTAGGTAGTAGACTGGCGGACGAGTGGTGAAGAACTGGCTGACAGGTTGCACTGGAGGAGTACAGCTTTATACAAGATCGGCTGGAACACACAATAAATATATGGCGAAAGCGTGTACGAGTGGCAACACCCGGACAGAGTGAGTGGTGCGATCGCACCAAACTCTATCTCGATCCTCGCTGAACCGTGTACGCAGGGACGCAAACCAACACTCTTCTTTCATAAGGCAGCTGCGCTTACGTGTAAGGAGGTGGTGCATGTTAAGCCGGCACGTTTGTGGTCCAAGTGAATATTCCCTAGCGACGAAAGCAGAAGATTGCAAGGTAACGTCAGTACATACCGTAATCTGACGAGTTATTAGCCGCAAGCATGCATAGTACTAGACGCCCATGCATCCATGACCCAGCACCATACCCAACAGGTGTCTCTTTGTCGTCTCCCACCAACGCCGGGCACATTGGACGTTTGCCGGAATACATATTCTTCTATCCGCAAACTCACCGAGCTGTATCCCGTTTGATTTCTGGTTCCAGACCTTGAAGCACTGTCGCACCCCGAAAGTATCGGATGCTACGTGATCATCGATCGCTCCTCGACTACATCGTACAGCAATTACCAGGCAACCGCAGCTTTCCTGCAGCTGCCTTGGGACCGGCATTTGCGAAGTGCGAGGAGGATCGATCCGTAAGCGGCGAGCGGTAAGTGTTTTTCTGCTAGACTTGGTGATTCTGGATTGTTTTATACAATAACCGGGCTGATCATGATGATGTGTGAGACGAAACTTTCAGGAAAAATAATTGTTGCCCACTGGCAGACGGTTTACGGTTTCTTCTGTCAAAAATCACCGCTACATACGCTCAAGAAAACACCCAGATTCGAACTGGGGACCTTCTGCATGTTCAACAGAAGTGATGACCAACTACACCACTGTTCTCCCCCGAGATGCGGGCTAGGGTGATGTAATGGGTTGAATTGTGGACGGCAAAGAGGATTGATTCTGCTGCAGCCTCGACTCGGACCTTTGTCAAAACTGATACGGTGGTATCAGTGCAGTAAAAGCAAAAAAGAAGGAAAACCAACAAGGCAGAGCTCATACGAAAAAATCCAGATTCGAACTGGGGACCTTCTGGCGTGTAAACTGCATCATTGTCCTCTCCCATTCTGAAAAGCCCTGATCGCCTATCTGCACCTACGCCAGCGTCGATCGGATCCTTTCTCCACGTAGGATTCTCCGAACCCTGAAAATATTAATCCTGCAAAGCCAGCTTGAACAAGATCATTTCTTCGCCTACCTAGTACTCTAGTGTCACGGCGCCAGAACTAACACCCTCCATCCTCGTCAATACATCCTCCTTAGGTTTATATTGTATTTGGTGCATAATTTCGAAGGTTCTGGTGTGGAAGAGGAGACATAGTTGTCATCAATTGGTGATCTTCCAAACCGTCAAAACCGGATTGTGCCAGACGGCCAACAAAAAATGTGAGAAGAGCGAATTGTGCCAGTGGAACAACCCAGGATCGAACTGGGGTCTTCTCTGTGTGCGACAGATGTGACTCGCCACCAATTAGGCTATTGTTCCTGTGCGATAGTGAGATGTGGAATTTCGTTGACAGCGAAGAAGGTTGAGCGGACGCGGCAAGCCCTGCGATTGGACCCTGACACGTGGGATCCCGCCGGCGGTGCGGATCGGACCGGTCAATATTCTGCACTTCTGTTCGACTTCTGGCGTTTTCTCGTCGTTACTTACAAGCGCGCGTTGCACCCAGCCGGCGCTCCTCCTCCCATCGGTCTCTACCATACCTTTGTCGCCTTGATTGTCGACTTCAGCCACCATCACGTCAACTCTGCTTCTGCCCAAGTGACAAAATGTCTCGTGTTCTCATCTCACGTACTCCTACTCGACCTTCGAGTTCTCTAGTGCATTCCTACGCAGTGCAACCCGGTTTTAAGAAAAAGACTAGTGGGTGTACTTAGCTTCTGCAGCACTCTATCCGCAATTCCGAACAAGGTTGGCTCGTCTGTTCGCCAGGGGTTTCCCACCGACCATGATGTTGGTATTCCCAGCCTATGGGTACGACACGGACATTTGGAAATGGACGCCTTGGATATGCTTCCCAAGGACCTGGTAGACCTGGTGGTGGTGGAATGGGAGGAGGAGGATTCCTGGGGTTTAGTTTCCCATTGTAAGAGGCGCTCAAGGATTTCGTGCGTATCTGCTTTTATGAAGAGAAGGTTTGGCTGACGCGAGTCTATAGAGTGTGGCCTTGATGGAACTTGCGATGACAGGAAGGTTGGATGCTACGATTGGGAAAAACGGAGGTCAGTTCACTTCGTTTTTTGTAAAGACGCGTCTGTGTGTTTCTGAACGTGTTTTCTAGAATCAGACGAACAACTCAGAGTAAGCCTCTTCAGACGTTCTACTTGAAATTCCTAAGCATTCAACGGTAACCAGGTGTCGAACCAAGTCAAACCCAGTCGTACGTTCCTGTCTTAGAATCACTGTGCTCGGTTCATAACGTATACACGCTCTAGCTCATCGGCCCTCCTGGTGTCGGAAACACCGCAATTCTCGAAGGACTAGCAAGTCGAATCGTAGCAAAGGAAGTACCAGAGGTAGGTATACGGTTCTCGTCCACGTCCACGTCCAACCGCATTTGCTGACCGCCCTCTTCCAGTCATTACAACAAGCGCGTCTTCTCAATAGACCTTTCAGCTCTCCTAGCTGGTTCTGGCCTCCGTGGTCAATTCGAGGAAAAGTTCAAAGCCCTACTAAAGGATATTGAAGACGAAGAAGGGAAGGTTATTTGTTTTATTGATGAAGTTCGTAAGTACTCCTTCGTTACTACTTTTATTTTGGAATTTGCTCAACGTGAATTTCGCGTAGATGCCCTATTCAATATCGGAAAAGCAGAAGGAAGTATCGACGGTGGACAGATGATCAAACCAGCTCTCGCAAGGGTGTTACAGTTAGTTGGTGCTACGACGCATAAGTTTGTCCTTGAACTTCGTTGAAGAAAGCTAACACGTTGGTGTAGCGGACGAATACAGAGAGACAATAGGCAAAGACGCAGCATTAGAACGTCGTCTTCAACTTGCAACAATAGATGAACCATCTGTCGAGTCGACGATTTCGATTTTGGGAGGATTGAAACCGAGGTATGAGGTCCATCATGGTGTGGAGGTTTCGGATCGTGCTTTGGTTATGGGTTCGCCTTTTGCTACTATAAGGATAGCATATGTGCATTTATGCACACCTTTCCATTTCCCGCCACGGTTGACACGTACTAACACCAATATTTCATTCTTGTTATCATAGCCGCAGTCTACGCAGCCTGGTACATCTCCAATAGACTCCTACCTGAGAAGGCCATCGACCTTATGGACGAAGCTGACCGGTTCAGAATTTGATGAAAGGGAAGGGGGAGAAGTTGGTTCATGTGCGTGGCTTTTCTTTCTCTACATCTCTCCTCCTTCTCCGTTATGTTTCCCGTTTCTCGGAAAGCCTCTTCATCGCTTTGTTTGGGCGCTTATTTCATTATGCCCTATGTTACCCCATGTTTACTTTGATCTAACCTCTCTTTTTCCCCTTCCTCGCGACTATAGATTGGAAGATGCACTTCATACACCAGTCGTCGGTCAAGATAATGTATTAACAGCTGTCAGCGATGCAGTTCGATTACTATAAGCCCCTAATAGACCTGTTGCCTCGGGTCCGACTGGGGTTGGGTAGGATAGTCATACATTCGGTTCCCAGGTCACCTCTTTTCTCTTGAAGCTTATCATGAACTGTACTGATTGAATATCGGGTTATAGACTGAACTGGGTAGAGCTCTCGCACAGTTTTGTATAACGATGAGCAGAGGGAATTGTGAGTCTGCACACAATTTCACTCCTCCTTATCCCCATTCGCTTGGGTGCGCTTTGGGGTACTGATAACTGCTTATATGCGTTTAGGATCAACATCAATATGTCAGAGTTTTATGATCAACATACGTATCGAGGTTGATTGGAGCTGCGCCTGTATATGTTGGGTTTGAGGCCTGAGGAGGGTGGTCAGTTGACGGAGGCTGTCAGAAGGAACCGTATGGTATGCTTTCTTAACCGTGGTTTGGTAATGGTGCTAATACGACTTGGACTTAATAGCTTTGATATTTGGATCCACATCTCGTATCGGAACATTGGCGTAGTCGTTATCGCGTCTCTCCAACGCAGAGGGTTTCCAGTTCGATTCTGGGTTGTTCCATTGCATTGCCTCCCGTCGTTTGATTTTATTGATAAAATTTGGATTCAACTTTCACGAAGACCACTGTCAATCGCATCATTTGCGAAAATACAGTCTTGCGTGTAGGAAATATCCCAAGGCTCGAGCTCCCGTTAGACTGGTATTCGAGCCAACGTGTCTACATTCCACGTCAGAATCTAAACAAATGGTGTAGTTGGTCACCACTTCTGTCCCGCACGAACCGGCAGAAGGTCCCAGTTCGATTCTGGGTTAATTACCGGAGAGTCAGAAAATACAGTAGTGATACAAGACGCACAACTCAGCACAAGTACAAATCGATAACATTGACAACGCCATCTCTCCTTCTCCTTATGCCGAACCATTCAAGAACCGCTCCTCCTCCTCCTATCCGTGCTCCTCCTTCTGCCATTCCCACTCCGTTTATCCACAACGTCATCTACCTCCCGCATAAATCTCTTCGAAACCTTCCCAGCTTGACCAACCGTCAAAACCTCACCAACGCCTTTAAAAGCCATTCCCAACCCATAAAATATGAACCCAACCAAGATGACGGGTGCTCCTGCGGCTAAAGCGGTTCCTATCAGGAACTTTTTTGCCCCTCGGGAGATGTTTTCTTCGATATCGAGGTTGCTCTTGCTTCTAGTGGAGGATTTATCATCGGCGTTGGGGGCTGTATCGTGATCGTCTGCTGTTAATTCGTGGCGACGATGTGATGCTGTGTCTCCGTTTGGAGAGTCTTGGCCGTATAGAGGGTTTTGGTCTCTGGCGTGGTCCCCATCGAATTGAGAAGATGCTGATGACAATGTGTCCAATCTAGGACTGGCAAGTAGACGATCACGGTCACGAGGGTGGATGCTGGTTGTATAATAGGTAGGTGGAGAACGAGTTTGGTGGGAGGGAGATGGGCTTGAAGGAGTGGGAGAGTGGGAGATGGATGGTCCAACGAAGCTGGTGTATGTGGGGAGAGGAGATTGAGTGCCGTCTGAATCTTCGGCGATTGACAATGGTCGGAGGAGTAGTGAAGGCGACGTCGAGGTCATAGAGGGACAAGACGGCACCAGTAAAGCAGTGAAGATGACGGCGAAGAGAGAAGGCAAGGCATTGACCAAAAAGCAGCCATCAACGACTGGCATCGGCCTCGGTGCCTGGGGGCATGTTGGATGGCCCTGAAGATTCTGGGTTTAGAGTCCAGACGTCAAGACATTTCTTAACGAGTGATTAACATTCCCCGGATATAACTCATGACTGCCTATAGCTAGTAGTATTCTACACTATTCTAGCACGTTGCATCGAAAAATTTAACCATTTCCCAGGGAATATGCATCCAGTACTTGTATAAGGACAAATTGTTGTGAACTCGCCATATCAACCAAACACTCAATCTCACCTTGGCCAGTCCATATTGTACATGGCAGAGTTCTCGTTTGCATCCTCGACACCAGCAAATTCCAGTTGAGTAACGAGCCCTTGGAAAAGCGCCCTCGCAGACGGTTGCATGTCCATCTTGTAAAACCGGAGTGAATCCAATCGAAGTCCCAACAAATTCCTCCAAACCAACCACTCTCGCAACTCGGAATATTACTTCTTTCCAAGTTCGAACTCATCACTGGCACTGCCGTCCACTCTGATCCGCCGCACCGGGTGGAAGCCCATTGCATGCAACCCTGCCGCAATGGTTTGGTTATCCAACACCATGGCTACGTCGGGAGTGCCAATATTTGTGACTTGACGAAGTTGCCTATTCTCATCTTTGATGAAAACGATAAATGTGGGAAGGAATGTAAGATCGATGTCGAGCGACTGGACGATCCCTTGCCCGCTGAAGTAACCGAATATTGCAGGCTCGTGATGCTCGTAATCGCCGCCTCGGAAGTGAAGAGAGTTAACAGGTGAGAATGGAAGGGTATCGAAAGTGGGAAGGAGATCATCCCCTCGGGAATTATTGAGGGCAAGTTTTACACTTGTTCTTCCGAATGTTGGGGTTGTATCCTGACCATCCACCACCATGCTCTTCTGCCACTCCTCAGTCATGGAAAATCGGAAGTAATCCTCTCGATAGTCCACTCCAAGGTGTGTTACCGGCCATTCGTTCAAGCCTCGAGCTCCCACTAGGGCCTGGGCAACTGCGAATTGTTCAGATAAGTTACCTCCGAACGCCTCGACGTCAATCTCAAGAGCCTTTGGGAGCGAGACCTGGTTTAGCAGAAAGGCGATAGCACCGCCGTACCAATCGGTGAGTGTGAACGAAGTTGCATGACCTAAAGTGATTCGCGGTGGGGGGTAGTCTTCGCTCTGAGGAAGGAATGGCTCCAGAGCGAAGGCGAGCTGGAAATGTCGAAGAGTGGGCCCGATGCTCTGTATTTTTAGTACCAGGTCGTTGACGGAGATCTTTGAAGATGGAGTATCAATGGAGAACTTCGTCAAGCCATGATGAGCAGGTAAGGAGTCCCAAGAAAATTTGCAGGACGACAACGAAAGTGAGCGTAGGGAGGGACAAGTCCCGGCAAAGAGGTTTTGGGGTAGACCAATGCGCGTAAGTGATAGTTCAACCAGGCAAGGGGCGGGCATGATCCAGGTTGGGGAACAGGGGAATTCCTCCGGCGATATCTCTCCTGAAAACGCGTGGATATCAAATCTCTTGATTCGGTATAGGTTTTCTTGGGTGGGTCGAAGAATGTGGTCGAAGGGGTCCTCCAGCCGGAGGGAAAGACGGAACTCGAGCTCATGATCTCGAGTCCGGGATACTGCGGTCTGTATCCACTCCGGATGTTTGAAGTCTACGCAACTCCATAAAGCGGGGGTTTGGAGCGCAATTTGTCTCCAAGAGCGGCAAATCCAGCTCACTAAAAGAGCCATACGTCCTGATGTACCCCCTAACTCGAATGCAGTTGTGATAAATATTTCTTGAAGGATTTCATGATGAAGATGTGCAATAGAAACGTGGGCGTTCCGAGTGGACTTTAAGGAGAGGATTTGTTGGGAAAGTTGGGAAATCTGGGCTTCGAGTTGCGTGATCTCCTGGTCGATTTTGTTGATGGTGTTTCGATCAGTAGCAGAACGCTGAGAAAAAGCGGAGGGAGAGGTCATCAGAGCAAGAGTAGGAGAGCAAGGATGAGCTGGCAAGGGACGAGGCGTACCACGGTTTTCGTGATGGCTCGTGTTCACCTTCAGACGTAAAAGTCGCTGTCTGTTGCGGTATAGACGCCGGATGAACTGTAATCGCGCTTGCGCGAAGTGTGGAGTCCTCTATGACGCATATACGCCATCAGCACACTCAATTATATGCAAGGCCAATCTACTCACCACCCCCTCACTCAGGAGTCCTACTCCCCTCAACAGCTCCTTCAACTCTTGCAACTGAAACGACCGAACTACCACAGCCGTAGTCACACCTTGTGCATCAGTCATACCTAAACCTCTCGCTTGTAAATCATCAAAACGTTCCAAGTCCTTTTGCGGCCAATCCGTTGCTGAAGCGCTGCATCCCAGTGCCGAGCGCTAAGGGGTGGTGAATTGAGATATTGAGTTCCTAGTCTTGCCCCCCTCCTCATATTGCATGACGACAATGGTGTGGTTGGACACCCCTTCTGTCATAGACAATGTAGGAGAAGGTCCCCAGTTCGAACCTGGGTTGTTTCGTTGGTTAGTTTCAGTGATTTTCTTTTTTGAGAGAGGATATGCTCTCGCAACCAACTATGCCATTGTTCCGATATGATTCAGAGAAGAGTTGGGAAAGACCTTCAAAATGTCCTGCTGTCGGGGACGCGGGTGTCCTAGAAACGCCGTGATCAGGAGTGGGATGCACCTGCGCATGCACGTACTGCCATACCAGATAAACACGGCAGCTGCAGAGGATGTAGCTCTTAAAGTTAGATGTCATACGCACGAGGTATCACCGGCACCCCAAAAACAAAATGCGACTCGTCTCGTATGAAACAACCCGGGTTCGAACTGGTACCGTCTGTGCTTGCGACAACCTGCCATTGTTCCGATGAGGTTCAGAAAATGATCAGCATCGACTTTCAGGACGTCCGAGCCCAGTGTTGGCCGGAAACGCGCTCTAGACTAAACCTTCAGTTGCAGGATTGGGAAGGCTATGATCATGGCGTACTGTAATTGCCTATCGGATGCATATCGTCCAGCAAAAACACGGGGGAATGACGTCCGATCAGTATCATCGTTTCCCCATTCGAATCTTCAATCAAATTGGATGTTCGCATCGTATATTGTCAAGGTGAAGACAACGGGAAGGAAAAATGAAACGACCCAGGCTCGAACTGGGGACCTTCTGTGTGTTAGACAGATGCGATAACCAACTACGCCATCGTTCCGATGCGACATGTTGGGAGAAATCGAAAGGTACAGGCCTAGCCGGACCAAGCCGAACTTCATCTGTGTTGATGGACGACACGTGGCATTTTGACCTTCCCAATTCTCGTCCCGCAGACGTAACAGTACACTCGCTGCGCACTGCTTCTCTTTCTCGATTTTCAACAGAGACTTCAGTACATCCATCTCAGTAGACGTCGTGGCAATTTAAAAAGCAGACTTCGACCGAAATCGGGATCTGCTGTTGCTGTGTCTTGAACAAACGCGGTACGCTGGTGTTCTGATGCAAGATTCATTGCAATTTGCTTGCTTGCGACGAGTTGGAAGGTCCAGTCCTAGGCCCAAGGTTAGTCGTAGGACACCAGCGTTTTCCCTATTAAGCATCACTTAGATAAATCGGATTGTCTGCCCAAATGACCAAACCCACCACACTCGATGACAACCACCAGTCCGGCTCTGGGGTAACTTCGGTGTGCCTCCAGTCCCAGAAAGGTTCCCCCTTCGACTTCACGGAAGCATTGGAACAATAGCATATTGGTCGTTGCATCTGTGTTGCACGGAAGGTCCCCAGTTCGAAACTGGGTTGTTTCATCGCCCCCAGGCAATCAGTTTTTTCGTCTTCTCTCCTGATGAAGCGGCATGCACATCGAGAAAATAGATCATGGTAGTGTTGGCGTTTGCAAGGCCACGGACGTGCACAGTACCTCAGCGAACGTTAAAACGTTAAAGTGTCAACGCGCAAGGTAAGCGTTTTTGATTTGTGGTATCTTGGTTTCGTCCAACTTATGCGTGCTGCGCAGCACCCACAGCTCACCAAAAAGTTCATCACGATATAAAAATAGCATGAACGCTGCGCAGTCGTGGTACTGCGGGGCTCTCATCCGATTCGATTTCATCGCAGAATCAGACCTCGTTCACGGCTCCCAACCTTCTTCAAGGCTTCAACACCCTTCTATCTGAGCTATGCATTTCGATCTCAGCCGCATCGCAGCTAGCTAAGCTCTAGTTATTATCCACAGTCTACCACAGTCTACCACGTTTCTATGGTGTCTCGAAGGAGGGGGTATTCCTGGATAAAGGGATCTCAACCTTCCCCCTCCTTATACGCACCTCAGCATACGTTACCCATCGTCCTCTTCAGCTTCGTCGATACCGCATATATCGTCCTCAACTCCGAATAATCGAACAGTTTTTGTACAGTTCGTCGCCTTTTGCGTGGTCCCTATACTAACCATCACGTTAGATCGATTTGCGCAGACGTTATACCAGTTCCACTCGGCTCTTGAAAGATGTCCAAATCGTTGTTCAAGAAACTTGATGACTCGGATATCGCCTTTTTCTTAGGCCCGAACACTCATACCAGCGCCGCTGACTGTAATTTCGGTCCACCACCACCATATCCTTACGACGAGCTCGGGCTTACTGAAGAGCAATTCAGCCGCGAGCCTGACACCTTACAATCAAGCGGCATCAGGGATGTAGAGGGTGGTCGTACCGGCGTGGACGACGATATGGGGGCTACGATGCAGTGGAATACACTCCCCCTAGTACCCACCGTAACTGGAAGTCGTATACGGGCTGCCCAACAACCCGCCAACACGTCCAACACTTGGAATGCAAATCCGCTGTCCCCTCCAAATCAATTCCAAATTCCAAACTCCCTTCCCTCGACGTCGACCTCGCAATATTCAAATTCAAACCCGAATTCAAACCCGGTCTGGAAATCTTCCGGCAAGTCGGTAGGCTTGGGTATTGGAATGGTTATAGGCGCACCTGTTGGGTTAGTTGTGGGTGTGGCTGGGGCTGGGGTGTTTGCTGTTGGATCAGCTTTGGTTGGTGCAGGGAAGGTTGTTAATGGTGTCGGACAATTGCTTACGGGGGGTGTTTGGGATGGGATCAGCCGTAATGGTGATGGAGAAGGTGTATTGTTGGAAGAAATGGGGGAGCAAACCGAGAGTGGTTAGAGCTATTCGAGACAAATAATTTACTTGGTGAAGGGGAAATAGCGTACGTTTCATGTTTCTACAATACCAATTTCTGGATTTGACACCTCATATTCGTGGAAGCCCTCAAGCCTGAAAACCATGGTACCTCAAAGTATGTAAAAAGGTGTTCTTACATGTACAGGAGTCGCTGCAGGTGGTAGTTTGAACCATGAAAGTGAAAAGGTTCAAGTTGACATTGTGTTAGGGCTACGCGTCACCCGTGTGGACAATAGCTAACCTATTCATTCTCGATCTCCTTCTTGTGAAGGGCGGGACTCGGGTGTCCAACTTCAATTGTGATATCGGATCTCGGATGCTTGAATGCTTCCAAGTCGGTACCTTGTTTCCTCCTTTTCCTTCGGCCTCGACCTTATCGATCCCGAATGCCCTTTGTTGCTGACCTCACTCGCAACAATTGCCGTCACAAAAAGCGCGATGTTGAGGGGACATTGAACAACTAGGCTTTGCAATGGCCCTTCAAATTTCAACAATACGAAGTCTTGGCTGGTAGACTTTTCGGATGAACCGATACTCCAACGACCTAACTCGAGAAGGCAGCAATGTCATTGTCAACGTCCAGGCCTCTCCCGGTACCGGTACCTGAGTCCTACCAATTCATCTCGGTATCTGATCTTTGGCTTTTCAGTGAAACCACAACTCCGTTCTTTACCCTCTATTGTTGATATCGATCAATTCCTATAGGACGTTATTGTCTGGTTTGGCACAAAGTTTACGTTCCCTCTCGGGCGCTCTGGCCAACGCCACACACAATTACATCCCTAGCGCTTCGCCACCTCAAGATGTCAACCTCGAGACGTCCACAAGACCAACAATGCCGAAATATTGACCGATATGGAAGTGGGTCGCGCTTGTCGCGCTGACTTTAATTATCAAGGCCCTGCGGGGTTACGAAACATTGGTGGGTCGTGCAAGTGTCATGTATGTACCTGGTGCCCATGTCATTGACAGCGTTCGACACCTGCCAGTGCTCGGTGCTTGGCGTCATCGTTTCGTCATCGACCCACCTATCCAAGGCCGCCGTCGGCCTCTGCAATGTACCGGAAGATGCGAAATCGCGTACACATTCGGGGCTCGAGGGTTCAAAGTTCAAGCGGATCAGACGGGATGTTTCGGCATTTCGTATCCGTGTCACCACCGATGTAACATCTATGGAACTCGTGGAAGTCACTACTCGCACACAATGCGGGGAAGGTCATAATACGAAGTCACGGCCTTCACGCCGTTATTAATGGCGTACCAAGGATCTTAGATGCTTTCCCCCGGTAACTCCCGTGGTAATTGTTAGTTCGCAGTATATCTCACCAGCTTGTTCCTCCGTTTTCTCCCCCACCGCAGCCACGAGCTTGCAGACCACTTGACGCAGACCACTTGACGCAGACCACTTGACGATGTCGCTTGATACTCTTCCACTCGACTTTCTACCAGAGATATTCTCTGAGGTGAGCTTGATGTCGGACTTATCGGTCTTCTGACAAACCCCGGTGGCTGATGTATTCGAATTCACAGGTTACCACAAGCGACTTGAAGGCTATTCGCCTAACAAATAGGGTTCTCGCATGCGTCGCTGCCCCGTACCTCTTTCGCAAGGTATCCATCAATTGTGCGAGACAGAAGAGCGATACTGCCAAACTGTTCTTCGACTCTGCGTCTCAACCCTATTCGGTAGCGCAATATGCGAAGGTCGTGTACTTTGGATCAGTTCTCCAGGACAAACCAAGTCCTTGCGGGGAGGTGTTAGAGAGTGGCAGGTTGGAGAAGAGTTCCATTAGTCGTGGGGTTATGGCTCTCGAGAATGCACGGGAAATCACGTACGTCACACCTTCCAACACGCTGACCCGGCGCCTACTAACTATGGAACCCAGAATCGATTGTAAAATGGATCCAAGCTGGGTGAAGACCGCTCTCCTCAGAGCTGCACTCCGACTACCACAGTTACAACGGCTCAATGTTCGACACCCTTCAGTCGACGACTTCTGCGTTCCAACGTTATCCCGGGCCACCACCCCAACCAACATTCAATCTCTTCAGCTAGGAATTACCTCGGACAAATTCACAGATAAATTCCCTCCCATCCTAAGCGGAATGCTCGCTTTCTGCCCTAGCCTCCGTTCTCTAACTCTCACCGGGATGACCGCCAGCATCTCGCCTTCATCAATTTGGGGAGAAACCCGGATCGTCCAACACACGCCACCATCCTTATCGACACTACTTGCATCCTTACCAGATGATTCGACACCCCAAATTTCCGACCTTACCCTCGATAACTACTTTATTTCATTCGACGGTTCAAACCTCGGTCTATTCAAGACCCTAACTTCCATATCTCTCACCTCGATTCCGGATAAGGTGTGGTATACACCATACTTAAACCAACAAACCCCATTCGACGGACTATGGCTCGCTCTCGGGGAAGCAGGTGTCCAACTCGAACGTGTGGTCGTGGAAGTGGTAACCCAATCCCTCCTCGACTACCTCGCTTCATATTCTGGCGTTTCGCATCTCGCGTTGGGGATCGAGGAAGGGTTGATTACCCGAATTCATATGCCAAAACCAGAACTTCTTGACCATCTCTTGAAGCAGGTTATCCCTCGACATGAGGAATCGCTTCTCAGCTTGAAAATATTCACGAATAATGCGGGTGATTGGGTATTCCGCCCGGATTGGCTTCTTTGGTTAGAGCGATGCAAGGTTCTCCTGGATGTGTCTTTCTGTGTGGATTTTGAACCTTCTAATCCATCGTCCTTCGAATCAACCACGGTACGTCTTAATCTTCTATATTTTATTCATCGAGACTCACATTACCACAGAAGGAGCTGCTGAAGTTTTCCGCCCTTCATGAGAGCTTACGCTCCGTCGACGTGAAAGCGAGCCGTACATCATGGGCTACCATGTCCTCCCGGGAACGATATTTCCGCGGTAAATCGCGTCAGGATGCCAGATCCAAGTTCGTTTCCAACGTCGAACAGTTCTTGCTTCCTCTCGATCAACTTCCACATCGACAACTCCCTCTCTGTCTTTGGCTTCCAGACGAACATTGGATGGAATCGAGCCCTAGGTGGTTGACCGCGGAGAGTCAGAATTGGTGTTTTCGGTGTTAACCACGACTGAAGCGCTGAAGTCTGGAGTCTATATATATATTTAATAATCGAGAGACATCGATTGCCACTTCGATTCACACTACCTCGTTCGATCTTCTTGTTGTACTTTTTATGTTCTTCTATTCTTCTAGCACTGTAATATAAGCACACTTGCCCTGCAAAGCATGATGGCGCCCATCAGCCTGAGCGCGGAACCAAATGCCCTTGGGAAGCTTACCACCAGAATTAAATGTCGCAGCTCAGCGACTCGTAAAGGTTAAGCTTGTGCCTCTTTGGGCCAATACGGTCTGTAAGATCCAAGGTAAGTCCTCTCCAGTCATGCGAGACAGAGCTCAGCACTCGGCGTAAAGAGGGTCCTGGGACCAAGCAAAAAATGTAGACCATGGCTTCCACAGGGAGATGGCGCAAGCTGATTGCGTTGAATGCGAAGGGCCAACAGACGCCGTTCGAGTCCCATGGCCACAACCTCCTCGTCAATTTTCTGACG